ATGCTAATACATATACTTTCTTTAAAAACAATATTTGGAGTTATGTTTTGGAAATCAAACCATAAATCCTGACTTATTGTTAAAAAAGGTTTTTAAAAAAATCAAGATTAAAATAACTACAGTCTACTCACAGTAGTGTATACATGTTTCAAAAATTTGCTAAACCTGAATATGTAAGCTAATTTCATAACCTTCTGTAACATATCAACAGCGATTAAACCTAACATTAAAATGTAAAGGTTCCCATTTATTTGATTAGCCCAAATGGGATTTGAGAGAATACACGCGCTGGCAATAAAGACACTGCTTGAGACTCAAAAAAAAACTCAAGAGCTATAGCCCTTGAGCAAACTTCAGCAGAAGCAAAATCAATCTTCTGTAATACATTTCTTAAACAAAATGGAGCTCAAATTCATCACTGCATTACCAGTTGTACAAATATAGAATAGACCTAGATGTGAAAAGGGACATTACATAGGTGCTTGACCATTCATAGTGATTGATGACTGACATAGTGACTGTAGAATCATGTAGGAAATACCTTTTGAATCTACAGTTTTGAAATTTTGCATTTAACATCTCAATAGAGTGTTACTTAATGCACTAATAGGTTACAAGAGCCAAGAGGTTTTGCTTATTTCTGAAGAGTAAAAGATTAGATCCACTTCAGAAAAAAAATCACCACTAAATATGTGGAATATTTCAAGCAACTCAGACAGGCAGACCAAGAAGAAAATGTTATGTTATAACCTGGGCCAATAAAAAAGTACGGCTGCAACTCTTGCGCCACAATGACGTGTGTCAGCCACAAACCCACCATAAATTGGTGCAGTTGCTGGCCCGCGGGCCACTTGTACCCGTTTACCTGAAGACCCCGTGGGCAGAACGACTCCAGACCCGCAAGCGCATTGAGGCGCAAGTGGCAAATGGGCTACACTCGGAGGCCCCGCTGTTGTGATTGTCTCTGTGTGTGGGTGTATCTCCATGTGAGTGAGCCTATGTCTTTTATGTGTGTGTGTCTTTATGAGTGTCTGTGTGTCTCTCTGTCCTCGTGTGTACGTCTCTGCATCTGATTGTGTGAGTCTCTCCCTTTCTCTCTCTGAGAATATGCCTGGCCGGGTCTGGGAGTGCACGTCTCGCTGTGCCCGTGAGTGCGAGTGTCTCGCTGTGTGCCCGTGAGCGTCTCGCTGTGCCCGTGAGTGCGAGTGTCTCGCTGTGCCCCCGTGAGCGTCTCGCTGTGCGCCCATGAGGGTCTCGCTGTGCACCCGTGAGCTTCTCGCTGTGCGCCCGTGAGCTTCTCGCTGTGTGCCCGTGAGCGTCTCGCTGTGAGCGCGCCTCTGCGCCCGTGAGCGCGCCTCTCGTGTCTGTGAGTGTGTCTGAGTGTGTGTCTCTGCGGCTCTCTCTCCCCGGGTCTCGGAGCGAGCGCGCCCCCCTCCCCGGGTCTCCGAGCGAGCGCGCCCCCCTCCCCGGCTCTCCGAGCGAGCGCGCCGCCCTCCCCGGCTCTCCGAGCGAGCGCGCCCCCCCTCCCCGGCTCTCCGAGCGAGCGCGCCCCCTCCCCGGCTCTCCGAGCGAGCGCGCCCCCCTCCCCGGCTCTCCGAGCGAGCGCGCCCCCCTCCCCGGCTCTCCGACCGAGCGCGCGCCCCTCCCCGGCTCTCCGAGCGAGCGCGCCCCCCTCCCCGGCTCTCCGAGCGAGCGCGCCCCCCTCCCCGGCTCTCCGAGCGAGCGCGCCCCCCTCCCCGGCTCTCCGAGCGAGCGCGCCCCGCTCCCCGGCTCTCCGAGCGAGCGCGCCCCGCTCCCCGGCTCTCCGAGCGAGCGCGCCCCCTCCCCGGCTCTCTGAGCGAGCGCGCCCCCTTCCCCGGCTCTCTGAGCGAGAGCGCCCCCCTCCCCGGCTCTCTGAGCGAGCGCGCCCCTCCTCCCTGGCTCTCTGAGCGAGCGCGCCCCCCTCCCTGGCTCTCTGAGCGAGCGCGCCCCCCTCCCTGGCTCTCTGAGCGAGCGCGCCCCCCTCCCTGGCTCTCTGAGCGAGCGCGCCCCCCTCTCTGGCTCTCTGAGCGAGCGCGCCCCCCTCTCTGGCTCTCTGAGCGAGCGCGCCCCCCTCTCTGGCTCTCTGAGCGAGCGCGCCCCCCTCTCTGGCTCCCTGAGCGAGCGCGCCCCCCTCTCTGGCTCCCTGAGCGAGCGCGCCCCGCTCTCTGGCTCTCTGAGCGAGCGCGCCCCGCTCTCTGGCTCCCTGAGCGAGCGCGCCCCGCTCTCTGGCTCCCTGAGCGAGCGCGCCCCGCTCTCTGGCTCTCTGAGCGAGCGCGCCCCGCTCTCTGGCTCCCTGAGCGAGCGCGCCCCCCTCTCTGGCTCCCTGAGCGAGCGCGCCCCCTTCTCTGGCTCCCTGAGCGAGCGCGCCCCCCTCTCTGGCTCCCTGAGCGAGCGCGCCCCCTTCTCTGGCTCCCTGAGCGAGCGCGCCCCCCTCTCTGGCTCCCTGAGCGAGCGCGCCCCTCTCTCTGGCTCCCTGAGCGAGCGCGCCCCGCTCTCTGGCTCCCTGAGCGAGCGCGCCCCGCTCTCTGGCTCTCTGAGCGAGCGAGCCCCCCTCTCTGGCTCTCTGAGCGAGCGCGCCCCCCTCTCTGGCTCTCTGAGCGAGCGCGCCCCGCTCTCTGGCTCTCTGAGCGAGCGCGCCCCCCTCTCTGGCTCCCTGAGCGAGCGCGCCCCGCTCTCTGGCTCCCTGAGCGAGCGCGCCCCGCTCTCTGGCTCCCTGAGCGAGCGCGCCCCGCTCTCTGGCTCTCTGAGCGAGCGAGCCCCCCTCTCTGGCTCTCTGAGCGAGCGCGCCCCCTCTCTGGCTCTCTGAGCGAGCGCGCCCCGCTCTCTGGCTCTCTGAGCGAGCGCGCCCCGCTCTCTGGCTCTCTGAGCGAGCGCGCCCCGCTCTCTGGCTCTCTGAGCGAGCGCGCCCCGCTCTCTGGGTCTCCGAGTTTGTGCGAGTGGGTGTATGTGTTACTCTCTCTCTCTCTCTCTCTGGGTCTCTGTGTGGTGCTGGCCCAGAGAGGCAGGAGGTGGTGAGTTCCTGTAGCCTCGCTGGTGTCCCCTCATCCTGTCACCCTCCAAAAATGGCCACCCAGTTTTTGTTAAAGAAGCAATCAATAAATTTTTTTGCAACAATCTTATGTTTATTTTAGAATAATAAAGTGAAAAAATGTTGCAATAAATTTTCCTGCAAAATTTAGTAAGATTTACAAAGTGCTTCGCAATTTTTTTGCAAAAAATGTCTGCACTTATCTATTGGCCCAGGTTATAACCTACTTATATTGATGGGTTGTTACTGATAGCAGATTTGGAGTCATCAGAAAACTGGCAATGTAAACAAGGTGATGCATTGAACCAAAGAGGTGGTTATAGTTCACCCCTCAAATAGAAACATAAGTCATAAGTGCCTTGCCATCAAGAGGCAGTTATGTTTCTTGGCTGCATGCTGAGCAGCTGAAAAACTCACACCTGCCCTGCACAAGGCAGTTTTTTTTTAAGTAAATGAACCTACTCAGTACTCAGATGGAAATAGAACCCCCCATACCCAGAAAACTGTCACTACATGGAAATGTAATGTTGCAATGTGCAAGTATCTGTACATAGTACGAACTTAAAGATATTTCACAAATACTTCAAGTAGCAGCAGAATTAAACAATATACTAAAACTTTAAGCAAATACAAAGTTTAGCCATCTTGTGACTTAAAGGATTAAAATCAACAATATGATCCAACATTATGTTCCCCTGCATTTCTTGTATTTAACCTAAAGCCCATGCCATTGTCTATGGTCAACCTTTATTAAAATGAAATCCATTTACTAATTATTTTCAACTGAACTCAATTTTCTTCAATTTTGCAGTATACACTGCAGCCTAGATAAGGCACAAGAAAAAAAATACCAATTTTAATTTAGAATTTTAATTTTCGAGTAAGTGGAACTTAATTTACACTCTGTGTGAAATGAATTTCTAAAATCCTTGTTACTTTCTAAAGTTTGTATTTGAGATAACGAAATAATATTGTTCTTTCAGATTTCACAAGTAGTAACTTAACCATACTTCTGAAAGTGTGTTTACAAGTAAACATATCCCTTGATGAATACTTCAAGGGGAAAATTGGATTACCATACCAAGTAGTGTAAAGCTATTTTAATGCCATACAATCCTTTCATGGATTTAAGTTTTTGAGTGTTGCTTTTGAACTTTTTAAAGCAAATATGATAGTGCTGTCAAGAGAAAATATTTACTGCATTCATGCAATTGTTTAATCTATTGTAATGTTATAAACGTTAGAAATTTTTAAATGTCATTCTATTTTTACTTTTACATTCAGCTGTCAGTTACAAACCCAGTAACATTACTTTTGTGGAAACCACCAATTAAAATAGAACATTTGAGCCCAAATATTTCCAGTTGAAGCAAAATAATTGATCAATGTTAGCCACATAACAAATGGCCAATAACTTTTGCTCATCAAAATCAAAGTTGAATGAAACTGACAGTACAACATTCTCTCCTAGGACAACAGATCATTTTTTTCTTTCTCTCCCCCCACCCAGAAAGGTAGTCAATCAAGGTTTTTAGTTCTGAAAACTCCACGTAACTGAAAGGCAAAGTTTAGAATTCTCAAAATAGTAACTACTACCATTAGATATTGTGAATCAAACTTACTGCACCAACTTACATGTACAGATTGAAAAGCAATACAAATTTAATTTTTCTATGTCTCGTTTGTTTCCAGTCTCTAAAGTCTGTCAGGAATGCAAGTATCCTCAGTCACAATTACCACCGTTCGTTCACAAAAGCAAAATCGATCACTGCCCACAACTTTTGTCACACCTCATCTAACTAATAACTTTTTGCTGAACGTCCGTTTTGTCTGTGTGAAACCATTATCGACAGATATTCACAGCACAACGTGTTCACATTAAGTTGCATCACAGCGATACAATTTATCACACTTTTGCAACCTGCTGCCAAATCGACCAGCCCCCACTTACCTGCAATTTGGAGGAGGATCCAGTGTGATTTCTGCTAGTTCCTTTTGAATTCTGAAAACCAATGGAGGGGGAGGGGGGGGAAAAAGGGGGAAAACAATCAGTACAAACACCACTGTGTGCTGCATGTAGATGTAAAAGAACGATTGCACTGCCCTCTATCACCATCCTTTTTCTCAGTAGCTCACCCTACCAGAGTGGAAAACATGGCCGCTTCCTCTTTGTTCTCAACAGCGTTATATCCAAATCCCACAGCAGGACAAGTTTTCACAGATTTTCACTCCTTTGCCGCTTTGAATACCAGTCGGTTTCGCCTCGGACGGGTAGGAGGGAATGCCGAGAATTCAAAAAGCAGCCCCCCGCCCCGCTGCAGGCTGGTTTCGCCTCAAATAGTCGCTTTTCGAGCTTATATGCAAATGAAGACGGGGTGTTTGTATTGACATATTTGAGAAGGACTTTAAAAGGAGTGCGACGGGGAACTGCCCAACACATGCCGCCGCTCGAGCAAACAGCCACACACTCGGTAAAGCTACAGAGAGAGAGGGAGGGAGGGAGAGGTGGAGGGGTTTCTGCTCACCTTTTGGCGCTGGTGGAGAGTTTGGCCGTGGTTTTGCTGGACACCTTGGGCTCCTTCTTTTTCGGCTGTTGCTGGGAAGACGCCTCTTTCCTCTCCTCTTGCGGGGTGTCGCGCTGGTCGGCGTCCGAGCTGCCGCTGCTCGTGCTCGGACTCTCATCGTCAGACCTCTGCCGGTCGCTGGACATCTTATCTTCCCTTCGGTGTCAAAAAAAAACACAGGAGCCGCACCAAAAAAAAAAATAATAATAATAATGATGCCACATTCACCACCAAGCGAACTTCACTTCGGGGGGGAAAAGCCCCGACTGCTGCTGCTGCTGCTGCTGTAAGCGAGTGACTCTGGTCTGAACACCCAAAAGCGGAGACAGCAGCGATGCCCCCCTTTCCCACTCTCCTCTCACCACCACTACCAACAACCTCCCTCCACCCCTCAACCCCCCCTCCTTCCCTCAATATCTGAACACACTTCGGAATGGATTTACATACCGTTCGACGAGAGGGAGAGAGAGAGAGAGAGAAAAAAGAGGGGGGGGGGGGAGAGAGAGAGAAGAGGAGGAGGCAAAAGAGAGATAATTCTCTTCCCCCCCCCACCTCCTCTCTCTCTCTCCTACCCACACACAAAAAAATCACAAACTATTGGGGAGGGAGGGAGGGGGGGAGATGGTTACAAGTTTTGAGTTTAGGGAGAAACTGAGGCATATCAATCAGTCAGTCTGTAAATCGAGATCAAGTGTCAGTTGCTGGGGCTTTTTAAAAACATTTGCTGGGCGCTGACGAGCATTTATATATATATATATATTTATTGATTGATAGATATCCATAATATTTATTGATAGGTGTGTGTGTGTATATATATACATATATATTATATAAAGCCCCTAAAATTCAAGTTGTGGAGAGGGTTCCGGGTTGAAAACCAGCAAGAGACCGGGATGAAGATGTGGTGGGGGGGGAGAGAGGGAGAAGGGGTAAGGGGGGGAGAGAGAGGGAGAAGGGGTGAGGGGGGAGAGAGAGAAGGGGTGGGGGGGGGAGAGGGGGAGAAGGGGAGAGAGAGAGAGAAGGGGTGGGGGGGAGAGAGGGAGAAGGGGTGGGGGTGGGAGAGAGAGAGGGAGAAGGGTGGGGGGGGGAGAGAGAGGGAGAAGGGGTGAGGGGGAGAGAGGGAGAAGGGGTGGGGGGGAGAGAGGGAGAAGGGGTGAGGGGGGAGAGAGAGGGAGAAGGGGGAGGGGGAGAGGGGGGGGGGGGGGAGGGGGGGGGTGGGAGGGAGAGAGGGAGAAGGGGTGGGGGGGAGAGAGAGGGAGAAGGGGTGGGGGGGGGAGAGAGAGAGGGAGAAGGGGTGAGGGGTGGGAGAGAGAGAGAGAGAAGGGGTGAGGGGTGGGAGAGAGAGGGAGAAGGGGTGAGGGGGGTGGGAGAGAGAGAGAGAGAGAGGGAGAAGGGGTGGATGGATGGGGGGCAATTGATTTAAAAAAAAAGTCGTTCCTTTTAAACCAGACGAGACAGACAGACCAGACTCTCTCTCTCTCCCCCCCCCCCCGATCAGCGTGGTGCACCAACTGATGCGTGAACTCGGATCTCTCGACAACAGCCGAACAATGAGGAGGAATTTAATCAAGTTTCCCTCGATCTCTCTCTCTCTCTCTCTCTCTCTCCCTCCCCCCCCTTTTTTTTTGAAACTGACGGCCAACTTCCTTACCTTTACCTCAGGGGGATCCGAGTCCGAGCCCGAGGCCTGTCTGTGGCAGGAACGACCCGACCCGAACCGGACCGACCGGTGATGGATGATGGGCAGCCGCCGCCGGCTCCAAACAAAAGTGATGTCGAAAAGCGATTCAAAAGGGCAGCCAAGAATCCAACGGAGGGGTGTGTGTGTGGGGGGGGGGGGGGGAGGTGGGGAGGGAAGGAAGGATAAGGGGGGGGGGGGTCAGGAGAAGGAGGGGGAGAGGGGCTTCCTCATAGAGTGCGAGAAGAAGCCCGCGCGCCGTCCGAGCATCGAGTCCGACAACGAGCTCTTGTTTTCGCCCTCCGGTAACTCGACATCCACTCTCGCGCGCACGCACGCGCAGACACGCACGCACACGCGCGCGCGCCCTCCCTCCCTCGACGGCTCTTCGATTCGCCTCCCGCCGGCGGCGCACTAAATCGCGCCGAGTCAGCAGCTGAAATGAGGCGCATGCGCGCCGGTGAACAGAGCGGCGGTGGTAATAAGAGGAGGAGGAGGGGGGGGGGAAGGCAAGGAAGAGACGCCGCTGAGGGTGAGTAAAAAGAGAAGGGGGGGGGGGAAGCAGAGACGCGCATGCGTCAAAGGGGGAGTGGAGTGGGGGGGGTGTGTGGACGAGGGAGAGAATGGGAGACGACGGCACGTCTGCGCACGCGCTTCCGCAGCGCGCTCGCGTGCAGGTAACGGCCGAACGTTCTTTTATTTCAAATCACCGGCACGCGGGACCCCCTCCCCCCCCCTCCCCCTCCCTCCCTCCCTCAACGACCACCTGTATTTATATAGCGCTCCTCACGCCAGGTAGCGGCCCAGAGCGCCTGTGACCGACCCACCCATTGGTTGGTTGGTTAATAATAATAATCCTTGCATTTGATATGGCGCTTTTCACGTCGGGAGGACGTCCCAAAGCGCTTCACAGAACACACTGTAAAGTGAATCGACTGTATATTTGTGGGCGAACGCGGCCACCGATTGCGCACAGCAATGTCCCACAAACAGTCGTGGATTGAAAATGACCAATTTATTTTTGTTTTTGGAGGGATTATTATTAGGCTCTGTGTGGAGTAAGGAAACTTGCTCAAGGTTTCGCCCTCTGCCTGGAATTGAACTCAGGTCTCTCACTTGCAAAGCGAGTGCTCTAACCACTGAGCTACAGGACTCCACAGTTAGTTCGTCGGTCCATGATCAAGCTGATCACTTGTCTTATGTCATCAATAATCCTTGCACTTGATACAATGCCGTTGGGACATCTCAAAGAATATACTGTTGGAAGTGGAGTGACTGTGCATCTTGTGGGCCAAACGTGGCAGCCAAACGTGCGCAGCCTGTGTCCCACAAACAGTTGTGGATTGAACGGATGGCAGTAACACCGTGCACGTGTGCGTGCGTGCGTGTGTGCACGCGAGTGCGCGCACGGACTCGTCTGCTTTTCCCCAGAAGATAAAAGTTTAATTCCCGCAATCCCAGAAGAACGGACCGCGTTACGACTGAGGAGCCACGGTCCCAAGCTTCAATGGAAAAGAGCGTTGCTTTGCATGTTCTTTCACCAAACCTTGTTTGAATGGCGTGGGGTACAACGACGGCGACTATACATGATTATACAGAGCTACTCTCATCCCACAAGTGACATCTGCCTCCCAAGTGCTTCGCACGGATGTCTGTTGGCCCCAAACTAGCCCTGCCTGTATGTAAGTAATTCCTCACGCTTTATTCCTCGTGTGAGTTAATTAAAGTCCATGAACCAGGATCCAGGCAATAGTTCCACTGCTAGCAATTTGTTTTAATCTTGAAGGTGTTGTTGAGGTTTTTAGTTTAAAAACAAAACAAAAGAGCAGCTAAAGTGACTTCCTCGTGCAAGGCTGGGCATGGTACATCTGTATAACTTACGGTTATACTGTTGTGCCTTATACTGTTTACTGTTGTAATTGGTTTAAATGCAATCATTACTTGACATCAGTATTTAAAAATAATGAGGTGTAATGGTTAAGGTACTCCCCTTCATGAATAATGGACATTTGCAGTTCTTAACTTGCGAGACAGAGTGCCCCATAACCTTTGAGGAGGTATGCAGGATTTATTGAACACGGTACAACTTAAAAGGTAATCAAAAAAATCTTACTTTAATGGTGTTAGTTTTAAGCTAAGAAGGTGGATATGGTTTTCTTTTTGCAGTTCCACTGCTTTAGACTCATACAGCAAACACCAAACTTATCATGGGCATTTTTAGAGTCAGGATAACCAGGTCCACCCATCAAAACACTCGAAAAATCCATTCAAGTTGTGTACTGCACTGTTATGGAGAAATAGTAAAATGTAACCTTAAACGTAACCTTTAGTACCAGATCAATGTTGCACTTGTTGTTTTTGCCAAAGTATAGATTCCCACAAGTTCAAAACTGTGGCATCGGACTGCACATCATGCATTGATGAGGATCAGTTGAATTTGTTGCTGTTCCTGATGCATGCCATGAGGCTCATGTCTCAGACTGGTATGTCTGAGGCAAGTTACAAGCAACACCAGGGATTCCATGTTTCAATTACACAAAACAACAAGAACAAATAGCATTTATTTAGAGTCTTGACTGTCCAGCGTCTTGCACAGTCCCAAGGTGCTGGACAGATAAGGGTTTGCACCCAAACTGGGGCTGCAATCCAGGGGCGTGGAGGGCAAGCGGGGCTGAGAGGATAAGCGAAGGCACAGTCAAAGAGGTAGGTCTTGAGACGAGTCTTGAAGGAGACCAGGGAGGGGTGTGAGGTGAAGTGATACCGGGATGGAGTTCTTGAGGGTGGGGCAGGAAGACAAAGGCCAATGATGGGGCAGGCAGAGTGAGGGACATGGAGCAGGCTAGCGTTCACTGAGCGAGCAGGTTTGGTATGGTTTTAGTAGGTTGCAGAGGTAAGGAGGAGCAAGATTGTGGAGGGCTTTAAAAGTGAGGAAGTGGATCTTATCACGGTCCTCTGGGGAATGGGGAGCCAGTGAAGCCGCCAAGGATGGAGGTGCTCGGCTCATGGAGCCTGGTGTGGGAGAGAATATGAGTTGCAGAGTTCTGAATAATCTGCAGCTTGTGTAGGAAAGAGGTGGAAAGTCCGATGAGCGTGGAATTAGCATAATCAAGCCTGGATGGGATAAAAGCATGGATGTGGGTCTCAGCAACCTGAGGGAAGAAATAGTGGCAGAGGCGTGTAGTGAGGAGGTGGGAGAAGGTAGAACAGGTCATGACACGGATGTGAAGTTTAAATGACAGTTGAGGGTCGAACAAGATCCGAAGGTTCCATAATGTTTGTGGGTGGAGAGAGCACCCATGAATAGTGGAAGCTGTCAGCGCCTGAGGTGAGGAGGCGCTGACAGGAGCCAAGCAGAAGGGCCTCCTGTCTTTGTCAGCATTCAATTGAAGAAAGTTGGCTCTCATCCAGGACTTGATGTCTGACAGACAAATTGTCGGAACAGTAATGGACCTGGACTCGACAGTAGAGGCAGAGAGCGAGAGAGATAGGTGTCATCCGCATGCATGTGTAAGTTAACCCAGTGCCTGCGAATGATGTCACTGAGCAGGAGCATGTAATTATTAAAGATTAAATATTAAACAACCATTGCACACGTGCATAATATTTCCAAGCAATGTAGAAATTTACAGGCCAAATCACCCAACTGCTGCCTGCTTTGCAACCCATGTTTGAAGCATCAGCATCAATACAGCTTCCATTGTTTCACTCAACATGGGTGGGGGAGAAGAAGGGAAGAGACTCGAATACTTTCCTTTCACAGAGAGGGCAGAAGATTTATTGACATTGACACCTGAATTTTTGGGTTCCAATTTTGCAATTCAATTTCAAACTAAAACATTTAAAGCACAGGTGGTTTAGATTGTATAATGATGACATCCTTACATTGAATGAGGAGCAAATAGTTAATTATATGTTTCTGTCCTGCCTTTTGTAGCACTTTACTGGCTTTCCAATCCTATCATGGAAGAGAATTGGTATGAAAAATAGAGGTCCCCATTGAAGCAGTCCTCCGTTGCTACATTGGTAGACAACTATATTAAGACTCTTACAATATAATAGGCTGCCTGCAGAGTTCATTACATTCCATCAGTATGTGGGAGAGTAGTTTAAGAGTCTCCATAACTTAGTTGCCCCAGAAAGGAGAGGGAAACTGGACTTCTGATTAAATTAAGAAGTTTCTATTACAAACTTCCATTGTCAACTATGAAGACAGATAAATAAATCTTGTTTATCTACCAGATGAGTTAACAGTAATTGCATTTTCTCATGAAGATTCCATGAGTGAATGATATTATCTCCTACTGTATTCCTCCTATAAATAATGTTTAATGGGTGGCCCAGCTACAGCTGCTAACATTTGGACTTGAATCACTGGATGACAGTGACTGCGGAGTTAAGGTTTTGTGTTGTATAATGTCCCCTCACTGAAGTCTTTGGCTATGTGTTTCTGGATTCACTATTGATAATGAGTTTATGGTTATAGTTTGCCCATTGGCAAAAAAATTTACACTTGGATAGTACCTTTGTGAAAAGGTTGGGAGATGGATCGAAAGGAGGAGAGCATAGAGGGGTTGAGGGTTTCCTGAGAAGGAAGGTAATCACAGAGGTTTTGAAAGGGTGGGTAATGATGTTTGCTAGAAGGAGCAGGAGGAGGGAATGTTGGGTGGTCAGGAATGTTGTAAGGCTGAGGAGGCAAGTGGAGCGTTTAATGCAAGAAATGGATGAAGACAAGTTCATAGATGTGGAAGGATGGGAGGTGGTGGAGTTGAATGTGTCTTCCTGATTTTAGGCCTAAGGAAGTCCATCACCATTTCACATTTTGAATTGAAAACCCACCATGGTAAACACTGGTTTGAAAAGAAAATGAAGAGTTTTAACCTGATTTAATGATTATATATTATCCATGAGATTTATTCAATGTCAATGGCTATTTTATTGTCTCTGCAAGAATTAAAATGATTAATATGAGACTTAACCTTGGATTTATCAATGTTTTCATATGGCTATTTCTGTCTTATTAGTGGAGAGGAATTCCTTGGGATTACATCTCTTATTCCCTGATAAATGAAAGGATTGGCATTTTACGATTCAGATAAACCTTTGAACTTAACCAACAATTTCACTCTCTTTCTGCCCAAGTTGATGGGCTGTATTTTGAACCATGACTTCAATTCATTAAAAGCAGCTGTTGTAGAAATGCTTCAATAAAATTACCTTGATGACTGAGTCAGTAAAGCCAAGCTAATGGGTAGAATTTAAATCATGCAGACCCAGAAGTATCAAAGTCCGATCTCTGTCTGATGAAGTTAACTGATTTCAGACAGGGCACAGTAAAGGGCACAATTATTAGCTTCTATGCCTTGGACTAGAAGCAAAAAAAAATATCGGGACTGTCTCATCATAATTCAGCGTTCCCCGCTGGAAAGTTTGTGTGTGTCTGTGTAAACATTGAGTGAGGACAGGATTCAGCTTGTCTGTGATTATCCTCCAAGAAAGGAAATCCTTTTCATTTTAAAACGACTGTGTTCTGCAGCTGCACTTTCCAAAGTTATGATAGCTGGTGTTAACTCTCAATTTAGACACAACTGTGAACTTTCTGGCTTTGTTCACAAATGCCAGTGGATGTTTCGACATGATTGTCCCATTGGTGATCATTTTGCCTAATCACCTTGGAAACTGATTTTGAAAATTTGTTATTCATCTATCACAATGGATATCTCCAAAGCCTTTAATAGGAGTTAATACTCAGCTCTCCTGAACAATTAAATTAATATTGTCTTCCTTCATACAATACATTAAGTGTTAAACTTGTATTAATCCTTGGTTAGCCCACATTTGGAATAATGTTTGCAGACCTGGTTGCTGTACCACTGCAAGGATATTGTAGCAATAGAGAGTACAGTGTACAGTGTAGATTTATTGGATATTACCAGGGAAAAGTCCATACAACTAAAGAAAGATTGGGCAGGGTGGAACTTTTCTGGAACAATTGAGAAGGGATCTGATAAAAGGTTTAAAATGATGAAAACAATTAATAATAATGATAATCCTTGCATTTGATATAGCGCTTTTCATGTCGGGAGGACGTCCCAAAGCGCTTCACAGAACACACTGTAAAGTGAATTGACTGTATATTTTTTAAATATAATAAATATTTATTTATTTAAATAAGGTTAATGTGACTAAGCTGTTTTCACTTACTGGTGAGTCCAAAACAAAGGGGCATAAATATATTTGAGAAGAAAGTCAATGCATAAATGAAGAAAATAATGGGCTGGAGGTTTAAGTGGGGTGGAAGCGCATGTGGAGTTATAAACCCCAACACAGGACGCATTTGTCTGAGTGACTGCATTGCTTGCTGTAACAGTGTAATTCTATGTAATAAAACACTTGTTGTCTGACAGTTGATCGTTTCTCACTTTGGCTTCCACCTTTATTTATCAGTACTGATGTTAGAGAAAGGGAACGATGACAGGCTGAACAGTTTCAAGTCCATCTTTGGGTTTCACCCCTTCAAGGCCTGAGCTGGTATTTCCCATAATGAAGTTTATGATGAGTTGGGTGCCGCTGTTTGTGTTTTGTGTGTTTTGTGAGTGAGGGAGAGAAAAGGAATGCACACCAGGCGATATAGGTGTAAAAGGAACCATCAATTTTGACAAACTTAATTGGTTGTGCAATGGCCTTACTGAAATTATGCTAAATGTATGAACAAAATTATTACTAACCTCAATCTGATGACAGAACTGGCTTTAATTGGCTCCACCTGAGGTCGCCTTTCATGGGGACTTAATTCGAAATGTAAATCAAAATGTGTCTTTGAATCTCAAAGAACAGACATTAAACTATCAATGGGTTTTATTTTGTACTCTGCGGAGACTGGAATCTAAATTTATGCAAGTGGATAGGCAATATAAATCCTGTGTGTTGATTTTGGTATGGTTTGTAATAAATGGGAGGTGACTGAGGTTTATACTGATCACACTGAAAGTAACCCATTAGACTAAGAATTGTGTTAGGAAAACTACTGATTGAGAGACTTACAAAATGTAAATCTGGTTGCCTAAAATAATGAGTGTGTTGTCCCAAGTTTGACATAATTTGTGGAATATAATTATTTCTTATTTTACATTGCTAGAATAGAATACCAATTTACAAACATCCTGGCATAGAAATATTTGTGGGTGAAAACAGAATCTACAGATTTCAAAGTATGGTTCATATTTCCTTCTAAATAAATACCTGTAATGGGACTTGTGTAGGCAATACATTTTTGCTTTGGCTGGAGGTTTATATCTTTCATTCAGATTCACCCACACTCCAGTATTTGTGAGAAATGCAAAGTATTTCTCCTCATTTTCTGTCTTACATTCCCTCTTAATCCAAATTCACCCTAACTTCAAATGAATTGGCAGCTCATCTGATTATTGTATTTGCCAACATAACAGCATTCACTTAATTTAAAGTGCTTCAAAGTGTTTATTTCACATCAAAGGCATGACATAAATAGTTCATTCAAATAGTTAACAATTAAGATTTCTAAATACTGATTTAACTGTTTACGCTGAATAAATCTGTCACATACCTTTTACTACAACCAATTGTTAGGAAACAGTTTTTTCCATTAAACAGCTGAAAATCCATATATTCTATATTGAGAGTCAAACATTCAAAGCATTCAAAAGAAAGTTTGTCACCCTATTTAATGCTTACTTTTACAGGGCTATTTTCCACTGATACCAATAGTCCATGTAACCAGGTTCACTGCTGGTAATGTTGCTCTATTCAAGTTTCCCAATAAATGTAGCAAGAACACAAATAAATCATGACACACTTCTACAATACTGGAATAAATTTGAACATGTTAAAAACACTAAAATCTGGCCTTGCTTTTAGACCCTTTCTCTTCCATAGCCTCTCCAATGTTATTGTACAAGACCTACATCCACTGCCAGCTCAGCAACAATCATTGCAGGCTCCCGTGACATTCCTGTACAATGATAAGCACCCATGGAGTACTTGTGCAATAATGTTTGAAACTACAATTGCTTATGAATCACTAAAGCTCTAAATATCAATTGGGGGCAGTTCCCAAGCATTATTTGGAACCCTTATTACAATCTGTAACCCACACTGCAGCATTGTACAGGGTTAACATTTCACACATTATATGCACTGATTTTACTGTGTATAAACTGAGTTATGTTTCTTCTTTTCCACATTCCTCATTTTCATTTATTATGAATTCTCGGCCATGAGTTGGATGCTATTGGTTTGGTATCTCAACTACCGAGTATTGCAAAGTGATTAATTCTTCTAAGCATCTCCTGTATAATCTATAATATCCACTAAATCTAATTTGCCTTCAGTTAATTTCCATATCTTTTTAGAGGTAATTTATAAACAAGGAAAGCTTTTAATTGTTCTATTAAAGGTATACAAATTCAATTAGGATGGACAAAGTGGTACAAGTAATCATTTTCTGGGATAGTAAAGGAAAATCTTTCTTTCACTATCCAGAAGAAGGGTTTGTAAGATAATAATAATAATCCTTGCATTTGATATAGCGCTTTTCACGTCAGGAGGACGTCCCAAAGCGCTTCACAGAGTACACTGTAAAGTGAATTGACTGTATATTTGTGGGCGAACGCGGCAGCCAATTGCGCACAGCAATGTCCCACAAACAGTCGTAGATTGAAAATGACCAATTTATTATTGTTTTTAGTTTTGGAGGGATTATTATTAGGCTCTGTGTGGAGTAAGGAAACTTGCCCAAGGTTTCACCCTCTGCCTGGAATTGAACTCAGGTCTCTCACTTGCAAAGCGAGTGCTCTAACCACTGAGCCACAGGACTCCACAAGCCAGTGCACAACATTAAATAAAGTCTGTTTTCCTCTTACATCAGACAGAAATATTGTTACCAATGGCAATATTCAGAATATGTGTATGGGTCCAAACAATACTGTCAGAGGTTTTATTTTTCCTCTGGTTGCAGGGGTTAATGAAGGGGTAGAATAAGGTATCATATTTTAAAATTTTATATTTCCCATCTTGTGGTGTTCTTGCCAATGCTGCTGAGACTAATAGAATTAACTTGCCAGAGTTGATAATTCCAGTTCCCATCATTAATTTGATCTGGAGTTCTGTCTTCAATGCGACTGAACTATATGCATTGTGGAGTAGATTACAACTACATCAAACAGGCTCGCTGTTTTAATTTCCTGTCTGGAGAGACGAACCATCCACTGCACTGCAGGTGGCAAGAAAAATGTACAACTTTATATAGACTGTTATTTTTCCTGGTGGTAATGGGCAATAACCGTGTGCTCAAACACATTTTGCTAAGTGCGCAGCACTGCTGGTGTTGTGCACAATTTTCCTCGGTTTATGCAATGGCAAAGGAATTGGATAAAGCTGTTTGTGTGTCTTTTAGAGTGTATATCTTGTGTAATTTTGTACTCCAATTTCATGAAACAATTGTGGATGCCAATAAGACCTGAAATATAAAGTCATTCTGTGGTGCAAACTACGCAGTTTAAGTTATTTGAGGAAAATTAGATATAAAGGCAGAAAGGAAACGTGAGCATTTACTCACATTTTCATGAATGCACTGAATTTTTTGTCTCAATTGAAATAATTTGCATTTGTGCTTTTCATCATCTGAATAGATATGTTGGTAAACGAGAACGACTGCTTCTGAACATCCGATGAAGTCTTTTGTGAAACCTCTTACGAAGACTCCTTTGTGAGGAAAGAAATACACCAATTTACAGTAAATTATTAATCTATTGCCTTAGGTTTTTTTAAAGTGTTATTTCAACAACCAGCAATTGCATTTCCATATTTTAAGTTTTTGTTTCTCCACTTTCCACTTAGTATCACAGAGTACATTTACATTATGTTCACCCACAAAAGTTTCATATTCAACTGAGCATTACAGAAAATACTAATAATAATCCTTGCATTAGGTATAGCGCCTTATCACGTGTTCAAGATATCTCAAAGTGCTTCACAGGATACACTAAGTGTAGTGTCTGTGTTTTGTGGATGAAACGCGGCAGCCAATTGCGCGCAGCAATGTCCCACAAACAGCTGTGGATTGAGTGACCAAATTATTTATTGATTTTGAAGGGATTATCACCCCAAAAAAATGATCCACCAATCAACAAACAAGAGGGTTCCTACTTACTGCTAGGTAAATAGAAGTATGTGTGTGTGTGTGTAATAAGGAAACTTTCCCAAAATCTCAATGACGTGACCATGTAAGTTCATGTTCTAGTAAGGGAGATGGTTATTGAAAGCAATCAGAAATCAAAGCCTAACTGATTATCACCATTGATTGTGACTCAAGAGAAAATTCCCCCAAACTTATATCACTAGGAAAGTTCATATCAATATATATATATATATATCTCAAAATGTGAATGCAGTAAAACTCACAAGTTGTATCAGTTGGGACCATAATATTTAATATGACTTGCGCAAAGTCTGAGTTGTAGGCAAATGGAGGAGCGGAGTTAGGAGATGATTAACACCACTAGTGCAAATAAATCTGAATGGTTTTGATATGAAACTGAATGGGGATCGGGTGCATGTGTCACTTAGACGAACATACAATTTATAAAGATAAGACTTGTGAGTTTTATTAATTTACAAGGGAATTCCAGTTTGAGACTTGAGAATTTGCACTTTGAGACTGAATTTCATTGGGTCTCTCTGAATGTGAATATATTTGTCAAAATAATTGGAGCATGAGCAATGGAATTTCTAATTGTAAGTGTATTTAAAAAATATTCAGATTGAAACTGAATTCAATATCTCAAGAGTTATCTGAATTGGAATTTGTAAATGATTTAGTATACGCAACAGAAAGCATTGAATTCATTAAATCAAATGTAAAATGTATTACCTATTTTCACACAGATGTACTAACAGTGGAGTCCTGTAGCTCAGTGGTTAGAGCACTCGCTTTGCAAGCGAGAGACCTGAGTTCAATTCCAGGCAGAGGGCGAAACCTTGGGCAAGTTTCCTTACTCCACACAGAGCCTAATAATAATCCCTCCAAACCCAAAAACAATAATAAATTGGTCATTTTCAATCTACGACTGTTTGTGGGACATTGCTGTGCGCAATTGGCTGCCGCGTTCGCCCACAAATATACAGTCAACTCACTTTACAGTGTGTTCTGTGAAGCGCTTTGGGACGTCCTCCCGACGTGAAAAGCGCTATATCAAATGCAAGGATTATTATTATTATTATTATAGAAGAATAGAAATGTGTGTCTTGCTCTGGGCAGTATAATTTTGCAAGGATCCTCTCGCTCCAGTTATTTTCAATGGAAGAACAAATTATTTATTTGTATCCTTTCAGTGACTTAAGATGGGATTTCCACTCCATGGAAAGTTGAGGAAAGTTCAGCTTCAAAATCTGATCAATAAAATAATTTAAAAAGAAAACAAATAATTCATATTCAGAAATCCTTCATCTGAATACATGAATTAAGACAGCAATATTCACACTTCACCGTTGGTGTAAAAAATGCATAGTTATCTATTACATTAATATTCAATTCCTGTCATTTATATACTGAAGCTCGCTCCTGGTAACTGAACACCTCCAGAATATCGTGGGGTTTAATTAGAATTTATTGTTCCATTTGTTACTTATTTACTTAAAATGGCAAAATGGTGCAATTCACAAGTTATTTAAACATGCTCAAAACCCATTTTCAAAAGTTAAAGGAGCACAAGAGAATAAACAGAATATTATATGTACTAAATGAATAACTGTCGATATTTTATTCATGTCGCACATGATCTATTTGACCTTTCAGAGTCTTGAAAGAAATTGTTGTGTACCTTCACTGGTCTGAAATTATTTTTGTAAGTTAAGTTGTGGTTTTCTTATGTTCTGTGTAGGATAGACATGATTTTTCTAGCCTTCCTTTAGAACTTAGTGATACATTTTGGATCACTTCACAATAACATTTTGTTCAACTTCAATAATATGCCTATCTTTTGTTACATTTGTTACCATTTAGCAATTTTGTTTTCAATTTGAAACGTTTTTTGTCTCTCTTATCAAGGTTTCACATGACACATATTGCTTACTTCCTGGCTGAGAGAGAACAGACTACTCATTCCAGACCTTTATGATGTAAGTCGCTGGCAGGAGCCGTGGGTGGGTGGTGTCACGGATTTGATAACAAATTATTATTCAATAGTAATCCTTGTATTTAATATAGCACTTTATCATGTCATCAAAACATTTCGAAGTGTTTTACAGGATTTTACTGTAGCGATGGTGTATGAATGTTATCCTGAACAGGCAGGTGCATCTTGGTTTAATGAACAGCACAACACTTCTGACAATGCAGTATTCCCCCCCAGCATTATGCTGCTTGTGTCAAAGTCCTAGCAATGTGGCTTGAACCCCCGACCTTCTAACTCAGAAGCAAGAGTACCAACACCTGATTCAGGCTATTTTCTTTCCCGTCTCCACTTAATATTGATGCAAATATTTTACAAATTTACTTAAATAGATTTTATTTATTGCATTTGCGATGCATAATCATACCAGTTTCTAAAAACAAACTAATTGCAAAGGCATTTGTCTCCCATCACTTCAGAGCAACATATTAACTTAAGTATTCGGCTTTTAAAGATATTTTCTTAGAGATAGTAGGCTGTAACAGAGGACTGCTGCACAGTATTGCATTATATTTGTGGCTACTTTAAATACTGGGATTTTGAAATGGTTTCATTCTCCTGTCATGTGGAATTGAAGGAAGATGTGATTCTTAGTCAAATTGAGAGAAGTGTGGCAGCACTTACAAGATTGTTTGCATCATTGACTATCAGGCCAGGATGTTCACAGAACCTAATTTCATTTTGAAAGACTGTGTGTACTTTGCAAACGTACTCTAAATAGCACGCAGAGCTTCGGGTACCTTGCAATATCATTAACTTCGTGTTGTGTTCTGGTTTTATGACTAAGAAGTCATCAGGAAACAAATGTTATGAGCTGTTCTCTTGACCGATATACCTATACTCTGGTAATGGGAACCCGAATCAGTCACCATCTGGAAAAAAAAGCTGGTGGCATAGAAGATAAACACAGTAATTACCTTTGCTATCCTGCCAATGCATATCTGTTCAACAATTGATATGATCAAATGCAAGGATTAGTATTATTATAGATATTAATTCTAACTCTTGGCATGTATCCAAATTGTATACTTAGCTAATATATATCAGGATTCAGATGTGTTCATCAGAATAGATTACTGTATCTGCCATCAGCAGCATTGTGGAGAACAGTAATGCTTGAAATTTATGCCTGTAAAATTCAGGTGCAGTTGACTGTCCACTGGGCACCCACCTTATCAGTGAACCCTCCTTATAAGGGGGTGCCTTATAATATGGTTACACTGTAATATAATTTTGGGGTGGGTCATTTTACTTTTTCACCATTAAAATATAAAGTACCAAAGTACTATATAATGACAGTTGACTCCTAGTTTTACAGTTTTCATTCACCATTTTCGGAGAAACAAAATCAAGGAAATTGCCCTGGATTTGCATCCATAACTTATAATCATTCTTCCTTTATCCTATCCGATCCCTCCCTGCACAGAAGATAGATTATTCTTGCGTATACTTTCTAAAGTAGGAGTGCTGCCTTGCAAAAGTTCATAAATAGCAATTTTGCAAATACACAAAGAAAACCTTAGTTCTGTTAGGGAATATAAAATGCAAGCCTATGTTCCCAAAGTGACTTAAATAGAATGTAGTACTTACTGCCTGAGTCAACACTCCAAGCCTGAACAGTGTCAGTTTTGAGAATAAACTTGGGAAATTGGATATCATAATTGTGCTTATTACTGCATTGGCTGTATTTTGAGGTCTAAAGTGCCAAATGCAAGTGAATAAATGTGCTGTAATGCCTGAAGTCAAAGGCCAAACACTGGATGGATAAGAATCTGTCTGAAAATAATTAGTAAATTGGAAATGTCCCCATACAAACGCATATTTGAAAATGATCATGAGATTATGGTGAGGAACACGTTTTTTTTCTTTTGTGACTGAACCCACTGATGAAAAATCAGAGTAAACATCAAGCAGGCATTCAAAGAGAAATATTGGTCTCATTGCCTTGCGAAGGGGATTCCTCCCACTATCCTGGCTAATATTTGTCGTGGGTCATTCGTGTTAATTGGGAATTTATATTAATATGAATTAATTCTATATTATATAGATTTATTATTTATTTCCAGATCACCATCCCATTCTTCTATGTTGTTACTTTTATGTTTTGTCCACCTTCGCATTCAGATGGATGTAAAATGTAACGCAGTTGTTGTTTCAAAGAAACATGGAGTCAGTCGTCTTGTATTTCTATTTTACTCCCCAAATAAATTAATTGGCTGCTGTTTCTGGGTTGTTGTTCATGCAGATTAGCTGCCACATTCATATGAATAACAACAATCGCTTCTTTTCTAATCAATCTTATTGAGATTGAGAAATTTATTTTTACGTTAAATGTGCTATCAATGCAAGTTAATATTATAAATCTAATTTTCTGAAGTTTCTGATGTAGCATGTGATAACAGTTAGTGTCAAATTCAACTGCCCTTTGTCAACTGTGCCTTAAATTGTAGTAAAAACAGCCTGGATCTAATCCCAGCAATTTACTGATGCTGCTTTTTTGTTGACAACATGCTGTGCACAAAAATGCTGTTTACTTTAAGGCTGTTGATTTAGATTGAGATTCAATCGTCTGCTAAAGAATCCAACGCAAACAAAAAGTGGATCAAGCCATCTTTAGAGGGAGTGCATAGTGAAAAGGTAATCATGCCTTTTTATGAGACTTAATATGAATTTTAGTGTTCGACTTCAAAAAACATTTCAATCCCAAATCCGGTGAGACAGGATCTATTCACATCAGAACCCCAAATGTGATCAACGTATTCTATGGAAATGATGTCCAAAGAAGAATTACAAAATCTATTGCACGACTAAGAAATGAAAATAATTTCTAATTCCCCAATTGGTAGGAGAATTCCTACCCCACTGTCATTCCTTAGTCTGTCTAATTAATTCTGTTAGGGCCCATAATGCAGCACACAATCCACTTTTTGTTTACACTGGAGCTGGCTGTTTGCATGTGGTAATTTTTTGCTGATTTGGAGGATAATTAAGAGATAAAGTTGGTAATCCCCAAGTGGATGGGGCAATAAAATGCTCGTGTCCTGAATAAACATGAAGGCCAGCCAGACTGAAGAGATTCACTTCAGACTGGTTGCAGGAACACATCTTACTGTCAATTCTGGAAAAAAAGAGAAACTGTGCATTGATTAGTAAATGAATGCTGCTATTTAACACACAACAAATGAATCAAAAATTATTCTCAAGCTTTATTCTATGACTTTTGTTTCAAAAATTATATGCTGGATGAGTCTCTGATGCAGGATATGATGTATTTTACTGTAGAAAGCATCTTGTTGATTTGCGTAAGGTTTCCACAACAGACAGGTGAACTTGAAAACTGCAAATATGAGCTTTGACATGCATAGTTTTAAAGTAGTGAACAACTGATTTCTTGGGGTTTGTATTACACAATGATCCTTACAGACCAACAAGAACAATGGTTTGCTGATCTGCAACACGATGAACGTGAGTCTTTCAGCCACATAACCTGTGACTGTAAAGGATGACTAACTCTGATGTAATCTGATTCAAACCAGCAATTTTATCAGAGGTGTGAACTGAATCTATCTGTGTCAGTGGAACATGCTGCCTCCAGTGGCACAACAAGCACAACCTTGTTTACATTGCCAATTTGTCTTGACTGTGGCTGAGTGGAAAATCAGCACTGTAAATGCACTTTCAGACAATAGAAAGAACTTGCATTATATATATATATATATATATAGCTCCTCCAAACATCTCTATATCCCATTCAAATGGCTCAAAGTGCTTCACAAGTAATTACTGTTAAGTGTGATGACTGTTTTTAAAAGCATATCTTATACGCAAGATAGTTGGCATGACTCTTCTCTCCAAGACTAGATTCAGCTTGCCCAGCTTTATGCTGGAGTCCTAACTTTGAGCTAAATATCCTAATGCAGGCCTTGACCCCCACTTTCTGACTCAAAGATGAGTGTGACCACCTGAATCAGCCTAAATTGTATTGATCCAGATTGGATGCAATTTTATAAATAAGTTACTGATACAGTTGACTTATGTTAGGTTTATTCTGACCCAATTCCAAAACTATCATCCAAATAGTTTGAATAAATTTAAACCAAAGATATAAAGTTTGAGGAGATTAGCCATGTTACAATAATGAACCAAAGTGAAAACACATTTCCAAATGAACAGGGCAACAATAATAGTTCTTTGTATTCTGCTGTGGCAGGTGTTTCTATATATAGATGGTAAAAAGAAAAGTACATAGACATAAGGGACCATTTGTCTACCTAGAAACTAAATGACGATTGACAGTTCACTAAATTGGATTTTTTTTCTGAAGATAGTAAAAATAATTGTATCTTGGATAGATAGATCCTTATTAAGACTACATATACTGGTACTGGCAGTATTTAAATTTGATATGAACTTGACTTTTTTTTAAATTGTTTTTTATTTAAAAATAAGAAAAATATTTGTATTCACCCTGGCATTAATGTTTGTTGCATTTCCTGAGCGCACATTAATCATAACGCGAGAGTAAATCTGCATGAAGTTAATAATCTTTATCTGGTTTGTCATCAGAAAGACTTCTGATTCTTCAATATATTTATGAAAAAGACTATCAGTAAATATTGCGCGCGCACGCACAGATAAAAGGAAAATAGCAACTAGAATGTTTACAAAAGAGAGACTTTAAGACAAACCCAACAATTATTATTGTCACTGCTTTGATGATTAGATTTCATTAATTGATCTAGAATGTCTCTACATATTTGCTAGAGGGAGTTTTGAACAGTGGCAGTGTGCACTACTTCTGGCAGAAGAAAGAAAAATAGGCAGTCAACTCTGTGGAAGCTTCCTGTTAACTAATTATGATGCAGCAGTCAACATTGCCAACTGTCACAATGAGGCTTTCCTGGAGCTAAGGTGCATACATACACCACCTGTTATGCTGAATCATGCAACCCAGCAAAGTCCCAGGTTAAATACCTTATCTGCATTGATTAAGTTAGCTGACTTCAAATGGAGACGTAATGGGTTCAATTGACCTCTGGATTTTCAAGCTAGGAAGGGCGAAAGAACTTGGGTTTCCACTCTCCACTTGCCACTCCTGCTTGAGAGAGCATGTTGCTAGTAAATGCAGGATTAGGCTTGGTTGTGATCTTCTGCACAATCAAATAAATTGCCACTTGTCTTGTCTCCAGGCTTTTGCATGTACCATCGAAGGCACAACTCAGCATTAGCTCGGGGGAGGGGAGGCTTTTATCTTATTTTATTTATGAAATTCCTCAGGACCTGACACACATTTGTTTCTATTTTGAAAGTCAATTATAATTTTCATTTCATTCAGTTTAATATACATTTGATATAGTACCTTTCATGTCAGGAGGATGTCTCAAAGCACTTCACAGGATTCACTGTACAGCAGAATGACTATGCATATTGTGGGTGAATTGACACTGGCAAACAGCTTATAAAGTGAAATCTATGGGTACTGACAGGGCTGCGAAGAGGTCTGTGACCCAGTCTATTCTAGTTTTATGAATGAAGAAGAAAACGTGGCAATTGTGAGACTTTTTTAAAAAAAACCAGATATACAACACACTGGTTTTATAAGTTCTATCCTTTATGTCTACATCGCAGGGTGCAAGCGAGTTTTGACCTAAGTGGCAATAGCACAATGTACTAGTGTTGTTAGACACTTGAAAAATATATGTGGGATGTCGAGATAAATGGGTTAAATTTTTACCAAAAGTCAGATACGTGATCAAGATGTGTGGATATAGACTCAAATTTCCAATTTGTTTCACTCAAGTTTAATTAGATAGTTTTGTATTTGGATATGCAGCTTTGTAATAAGCTTATATTTACTGTTGTGGCACCTTTATGGAGTTTGAGGGGTTAAAGACAAAGCATTGTAACAAACCCTGGTTGGTGTGGGGAGGGTGTAAATAGGACTGAGATCAGTACCTGAAAGCAACTGATTGTTACTATACAAAAGATCTGATGCGATGAATTGAATTTAATTGGAAAATGTGGTCTGTGTTGAAACAACAACAAAATTACATTTACTGAGCACCTTTCACGTGGGAGGACATCCCAAAGCGCTGAACAGTCTAGGTGTCGGGGCCCGAGCATGGGGGAGGGGTGGGGTAGAGATGAGGGAAGGCAGAGAGGTGGGATGGAGACCAAAGGCACGGTCAAAGAGAAGGGTCTTGAGACCAGCCTTGAAGGAGGCAAGGGAGGAAGTGAGGCGAAGCGACCGTGGGAAGGAGTTCCAGAGTGTGGGGCCAGAGAGGCTGAAAGCCCGGCCACCGATGGTTGGGCGGGAGATATGGAGCAGACCGGAGCCCGCTGAATGGAGGGAGCGGGCAGGTTGCTAGGGAAAGGCATCTATTTCCACGCTGTGTATGCACAAGTCAGGCAAAGGAGATTACTCTGTGTTTAGGAATTGTTTTTGCTCTATCACATTTTCGGAGATCACATTTAATTACTAAAATTGCTTCCGTACAAGGCCAAATTCCAAAGTTAATTAGAACGTAAGGAAATGTCTTTGATACCACAAGAAGCAGAGAATTCTAAAGTTTGAGCTGATCTTGTCAATTGATGTACTTTGAGACTTGTATAAAGACTATAAAATGAGTCTTTTGGGTGTTTACTTCTTCTATGGATTAAGTGGTCTCTGGGAATTGCCATCAGCTTTGGGTCTGCCGCCTAAGAGAATTTCATTCTATTGTCTTTTAAAGGTGAAGGAAAAAGAACTATGAAGTTCAAAAATAAAACTTCTAGAAATTTTGATTCAATAGAACCGAGTGTTGACAGCACACTGGAAAAAAAAGGTAATGCAATGCAATTGAGTTTTCTTGCATCTGTTTTAAATAATCTCTATTGTAATAGGCTATACTTATTATACTATACTTACGACACCATCAGCATCCAAGGCTGCACTCTCCACCTCTCAAAGCCAGTCAGGAACCTCGGTGTTCTGTTCGACCCTGAGCTGTCCTTTCTCCCTCAAATCCGCACCACAACTGGCACCGCCTTCCATCACATCCGGAATATCGCCAGACTACGGCACTACCTCACCCCTCACGCTGCTAAAACCCTGGTCCACGCCTTTGTCACCTCAAGGCTGGACTATGGGAACTCTCTCCTCGCCGGCCTTCCCGCCACCTCCCTCCACAAGCTGCAGGTCATTCAGAACTCTGCAGCTCGTGTACTGTCCCGCACCAGGCTTCGGGACCACATCACTCCCACCCTCGCTCGCCTCCACTGGCTCCCCATCCACCAGAGGATTGATTTCAAGATCCTCATCCTCACCTATAAGGCCATTCACGGCCTCGCTCCCTCCTACCTCTCTGACCTACTATCCCCCTACCTACCTGCCCGTACCCTCCGTTCCTCTGGCTCCGGTCTGCTCCACGTCCCCCGCCCCAATCGCCCTACCATCGGTGGTCGGGCCTTCAGCCTCTCAGCCCCGAGGCTCTGGAACTCCATCCCCCAGTGCCTTCGCCGCCTCCTCCCTCTCCTCCTTCAAGGCCGGTCTCAAAACCTTTCTCTTTGACCGAGCCTTCAGCTCCCCTCTCGACTCTCTTCCCTCTCCTCGCTCCCTCCCTTCCCTCCCCTCACCCTGACCATTTCCCCCCTCCTCGCTCCCTCCCTTCCCCTCACCCTGACCATTTCCCCCCTGCTCGGGTCCTGACCCAACTGTGCAGCGCCTTGGGACGTCCTCCTGACGTGAAAGGCGCTTTATAAATGGAATCTTGTTGTTGTTATTTTACTATGTAATATGGTGGTCTGTCCTTATATCTAACAATACAAGCAGCTCAGTGGTGTACACACTTCTGATAGCTCAAGGCCTTACTGTTTGCCTGGATCGTGAGCCATCTGCATGGTAGAGAATAGACATGGAACAGCGAGCGGTTCAAATGTAAGGGTGAGAAACTCAACTACTGGGATCAGTTCAGAAACTGCTGGGGCAATAAAAGGAACTTGCTCTTTCTTTGGATACATATATAGATGCACGATTACATATTTTACTGGTTGAATTTCATACTTACAATAGTGAATTCAAAAAAAATCATTTATCTTGTCTGTAGGTGACAAGGAATGGCCAACACAAAAATACCTGTTGCTGTGTTGTGTAGGAATCGGGGTCAACCCACATGTGGTCAAGAACATGTAGCCTGAAGCCTCCTCACACTTCCACCTCTCTTTCTCTTCCCCCTGTCCCTCTCTTTTCCTTCCCCCTCCCTTCCTCTCTCTCCCTCCCTCCAAATTGATTTGGGAAGTTAGTCCATTTAATATCAGTGATGTGGTTGATTTCATAGTCAGTCCCATTGGTTCTGGATTACTAATAACAATAGTACATGCTGCTGTGCATAATTGGCTGCTGCATTTCGCCCACAAATATACAGTCAATTCACTTTGTAGAATATTCTGTGAAGCGCTTTGAGATGTCTAGAAGACGTGAAAAGCACTATATCAAATGCAAGGATTATTATTATTGTTATAATTGACCGTTCACTTATGGCTGTTTGTAGGACATTGCTGTATGCAAATTAATTGCCATGTTCACCTACAAAACACACAGTCACTAGATTTTGCATTAAATCCTGTGAAGTGCTTTGAGACATATTAACATGATAAGGTGCTATATCAAATGTAGGGATAATTATTAAATAACTATTCTCATAATTGTTTTGCATTGTGTAACTGACATTGTAATAGACAGTTATTTGAAGTGTAAAATTATTGCTGTATCGTGTACATTATTCTTTTTATTCTGACTGCTCGTGAGGAATAAGGAGCTGAAAAGCATAATTCCTCTTTTGGCATGAATGTAATTTTTCAGTAACGTCTGAGCGGTGTAAATGGATTGTGTTGTTCCAGTTATTGTACATTTATACTTCAGATTATTCAATATTTCCCAGACTTGAGCAAATGAAGACATTTGGGATTTGCAATCTAGCCTTAATGCATAAGAAATTACTGGAGCAGGTATCATTACACTCACATATATCCTACAGACTGAAGGTAATGAAATACAGCTTCTTAGGTCATTTTAAAAATCCTTCACCATCTCCATTCAAACCTGGCGTTCATACCAAACTTTGATATTTGTTCACAAGTATTTATTGATTGGGATCTATACTTATTGCAGATATGCCACAGCAGCAGAATTTAAAACTGCATTTACAACTCTGATACTTCATACATCCTGAAGTGTAAGCTACATTATCTCTTGTTCATCTGGTACAGTATATCTCAGGTCATTGTTGACACTTTACATGATAGTTTTAATGCTATATTAACCGGGAGCTCTTTGTAAAAGGATGTAATTTAATCCTGTTTCTTTTTAAAATTCTCTATTTGAGACAGTGAGCCCAAAAATACCGAAATATGGGCTGGTGACACCTTAGCAAAGTTAAATAGTGTGAAGACTGCTATATAATGCATGTTGTTTAATTTGAAAAAGTAATAACCAGTGAAGTTCTGCTTACAATCTTGAGATTTGCAGTAGTAATCTGGTTCTGACAACCTCCGTTGTAAAGAACCAATCTCCTAGTTTTGGGGTATTGGGACCAATTTCCTCTTTCCACGATAGAAGCATCATTAACAGTAAGAAGGGGAAACAGCAGCAGGGAGGGAACACTGTGGGTTATGCCATTGTACCCTAGAGTCCCAAAGTGGGCTTTGTAGGGATATACAGGTCGCTAATTGATGGGATTTTCCCACTTGTAAACTACAAAGCAACACCCTAAAGTGGAAAGCTGCCCAATTTGAGTTGATTCAATTCCACCAGTACCCCCAGTGCACTTTGGAATCCACAGTGCTTTCACTTCCTGTCAATAAGTACCTGTGTTCTCCAGACATAGCCAAACGTGTATCTGTGTCTTATCTCTTTCTGATCTCTCCCCCCACCCCCCACCCCCTCTTCCTCAGGGAGAAATTGTACACTAAAGAACTAGAAATCAGAAACTCTGTTTGTGCGAGATACCAGTTGGTTTTGGATATACTTGAGCACTGCAAGGGGTTTCAAGCGTATAAGGCTCCTTGCTGATGTTGAAAAAAACATAATTTAGTTTGCATTAGTTTCCAGGATGAATGTGTTGATTTGTTCTTACGCTTCTCTCTGTGAGCTGTGTGCTATGAACATGTGATTTAAGTGAACACCGTGTGCACTCGTCCTAGCTTAAAACTCATTCCAACTCTCCCACAGGATGTAACTAGTTAAAATGTACCTTCTGAGGATGTTCAATATCAATATTATAAAAATAAAATATCTAATACCAGAAATTCAGGGGTTGCGTGATTTGTTTCTGACTCTACAAGTACTGGAAGTTGTTTGTTACAATGCTTTATTGAATTAGTTATCTACTTTCAATTTGAGCCGTAGGTAGGATTTGTAAATTACAGTATGCAGAAATTGTCACATATGTTAACCTTTTGTGCTGTAGTCTCAGCATGTACGATAACTGTAAAGTCTTTGTTCAATCAACAGTCATGTTAAATTTTATAACTTTTTTAAATGTACATGTACAGGTAAATATGATTCTGCACTGATTTTGCGACTTTTTTGGCTTCCTGTCATTTACAAATTTAAGCTTGTTAAATTAATTAACCCTAGTTAATTTCATGGAATTAACACAGACCTTTTTGACCTCCATTGCCTGCAAAAAAAATGCACTGTTCACAAGGATAAATCAGTACCACGAAAACTGCCTTGAAGTCACTTTCAAGAAGATGATTAGAGTAGGGAAAATTGGCCCATTGCCATTAAACAAATTCAATCTAAAACCAAATGGGTATATATTCAACGATTTATCAAAATGAGGTATATGTTCAATGCCTTCTTAATATTTTCCAATGAATTGTTCATGATAGTTATTTAAATGTTATCTAAAATTATACTTGTCTCATCAGCCCCTAAATTAATCTATTGAATTCTTGCAATATGAAGCAAAATCACAAGTCATGAACATGTGAAGTCTCTGTTAAAGGAAGCTGGACTTTGGTGGGGTTTTTTCATATTAAATCTTATATGTATGACATGAAACCACATCATATTAAATATTTACATTGTGCATCTTATTAAATGTAAAAATGCTAGATTCACAAAGACCATGTTAGAATAATTTATTGTGACATTTACAGAATATATTTACCTAAAGTTACTATTCACCGCCATTGAAGATTTAGTAGGATCAATAGTTTAGGGTGGATCATATAATAATCTGCAATGGCTGGTTTAGGTAAATATACATGCACCACTGTTTGATTTTAAAATAAACTGAAGGAATGCTAAAATAGTGGTCACAAAATGATGAAACTGAAATCAGATAGATATATGGATTCAGAGCTGCAAGCAAGGTAAATCCAGCAAGTCCTTCGCGGTTGTGAAGCTGAAAGCAGCCTCTGTATTTGGGAACAATCAACCACAAAAGCAGCTTGTATTTATATAGTGCCCCTCACACAGAATAGCGTCTCAAACTCTCTCAGTCTGAGACTCTCAGTCTCTCTCCCATTCTGTCTCTGTCTCCCTCCATCAAATGTTAACGCGAAGCAAGGTGGTGCCAAGATATTTCATCATTAATGTATTTTTTTCAATGTTTGTGAAATTTTTCGTAAGTTAGAAAATCAGAAACTTTTTAAGAGATTGCAAGGTAATGGATTTGGTAAGTTTATTAATTTGAACTGTATTAATTCATCAATATTTATCTTGGATGATGTTATTTATTCGGTAATTATTTTGGTGTTGAAAATTGCTTCCCCTCATACCACAGTTAGAATCCTTCTTGTTACAGACTATCCTGCAGTTAACAGGGTGGGTTGGCAACTAGCTGGCAGATCTCTTCCCATGCTATTCTGTTTACAATTGATATAAGGCAGTTCAGAATAACTTGGTCACCAATTATTTTCTTCCCTGTTGGCAAAATCATAAGGTTTGGAACGTGCTG